GGCCACTCCACTCCTCCAGGCCACTGGCCGCTGCTGCCGTGGCCGAGCTGCACGTGGCGCTGGCCTTGCGGGGCTGCGGGGACAGGAGAGTGACCACAGTGACCACAGAGTGACCACAGAGTGACCACAGAGTGACCACAGGGCTCAGCGGCCACTCCACTCCTCCAGGCCACTGGCCGCTGCTGCTGTGGCCGAGCTGCACGTGGCGCTGGCCTTGCGGGGCTGCGGGGACAGGAGAGTGACCAGAGAGACCACAGTGACCAGAGTGACCAGAGTGACCACAGAGTGACCAGAGTGACCACAGGGCTCAGCGGCCACTCCACTCCTCCAGGCCACTGGCCGCTGCTGCTGTGGCCGAGCTGCACGTGGCGCTGGCCTTGCGGGGCTGCGGGGACAATGACAGTGACCACAGGGGTCAGCACAGTGACCAGAGAGACCAGAGTGACCACAGAGTGACCAGAGAGTGACCACAGAGTGACCAGAGTGACCACAGGGACACAGGGCTCAGTGGCCACTCCACTCCTCCAGGCCACTGGCCGCCGCCGCCGTGGCCGAGCTGCACGTGGCGCTGGCCTTGCGGGGCTGCGGGGACAATGACAGTGACCAGAGTGACCAGCGAGTGACCACAGGGGTCAGCACAGTGACCAGAGTGACCACAGGGCTCAGTGGCCACTCCACTCCTCCAGGCCACTGGCCGCTGCTGCCGTGGCCGAGCTGCACGTGGCGCTGGCCTTGCGGGGCTGCGGGGACAGGAGAGTGACCACAGTGACCACAGAGTGACCACAGAGTGACCACAGAGTGACCACAGGGCTCAGCGGCCACTCCACTCCTCCAGGCCACTGGCCGCTGCTGCTGTGGCCGAGCTGCACGTGGCGCTGGCCTTGCGGGGCTGCGGGGACAGGAGAGTGACCAGAGAGACCACAGTGACCAGAGTGACCAGAGTGACCACAGAGTGACCAGAGTGACCACAGTGACCAGAGTGACCAGAGAGTGACCACAGAGTGACCAGAGTGACCACAGAGAACAGCAGTGACCAGAGAGTGACCGCAGGGCAGGGGGACAACAGATGGATGTCACTCTCGGGGCACTGGGGTTGGGGACACCAGGGGATGGCAGGGACAGCGATGGGGACATGGGCGGTGACAGGGATGGTGACACCGATGGTGACACAGGCAGTGACACTGGCAGTGGCAGGGACGGTGACACCGATGAGGACACCGAAGGTGACAGGGACAGTGACACTGATGGTGACACTGACGGTGACACAGACAGTGACAGGGACGATGACACCGAAGGTGACACTAGGGGCTCGCAGGGACACAAACGGTGACACCGGTGACAGGGACGGTGACACAGGCAGTGACAGGGACAGTGACACCGATGGTGACACCAGAGGCTCCCAGGGACACGGACGGTGACACCGGTGACAGGGACGGTGACACCGATGGTGACACCAGGGGCTCCCAGGGACACAAACGGTGACACCAGTGACAGGGACGGTGACACGGGCAGTGGCACGGGCAGTGACAGGGACAATGACACTGATGGTGACACCAGGGGCTCGCAGGGACACAAACGGTGACACCGGTGACAGGGACGGTGACACAGGCAGTGACAGGGACAGTGACACCGATGGTGACACCAGAGGCTCCCAGGGACACGGACGGTGACACCGGTGACAGGGACGGTGACACCGATGGTGACACCAGGGGCTCCCAGGGACACAAACGGTGACACCGGTGACAGGGACGGTGACACGGGCAGTGACAGGGACAGTGACACCGATGGTGACACCAGGGGCTCCCAGGGACACAAATGGTGACACCAAGGGTGACACGGGCGGTGACACCGGTGACAGGGACGGTGACACCGAGGGTGGCACGGGGCCCACCTGGCGCGCCTGCTTCTCCTGGTCGCGCAGCCACTGCAGGTAGGACTCGCGGGCCACCTGCTCCTCGATGGCCTCGTTGGTGGCCTCCCAGTCGGTGGCGCGCTTCTTGTCCTCCAGCATCTGCTGCTCGATCCACGACTCCTCCGACGTCTTGATGGCGCTCTTCATCAGGGACTGCTCCGCCAGCTGCCACACTGAGGGGACACGGGGACACGGGACACCGGGGGCGTGAGGGGACACCGGGACACTGGGGACATGGGGGGCATTGGGGACATGGGGACACTGGAAACACTGGGGGCACAGGGACATTGGGGACACCGGGGACACTGGGGACATTGGGGACATGAGGGGACATTGGGGACACCGACATTGGGGCATAGGGGACATTGGGGACAAGGGGACATGAGGGGACATTGGGGACACTGGGGATACAGGGGACAGGGGGACATGAGGGGACACCAGGACACTGGGGACACCAGGGGATGTGAGGGGACACTGGGGACACAGGGACATGAGAGGACACTGGGGACACGAGGGGACATTGGAGGACACCAGGACATGGGGACACCATGAGACACTGAGAACAACAGGGACAGGGGGACACTGGGGGACACCAGGCACATGAAGGGACACCAGGGGACACTGGGACATGGGGGGACATCGAGGACACTGTGGGACATGAGGGGACACCATGGGACATGGCGACACGCAGGGGACACCGTGGACACGCCCAGCAGGACACACAGGGGACACAGTGGGACGTGTGGGACACTGGGGGACATTGGGGACACGCCCAGCAGGACACGCCCATGTAGGAAGGCTCCACCCCCAAGGGCAATGGAGGGGGTGGGGTCACGGGACACGGGGACACGGGACACCGGGGGCGTGAGGGGACACCGGGACACTGGGGACATGGGGGGCATTGGGGACATGGGGACACTGGAAACACTGGGGGCACAGGGACATTGGGGACACCGGGGACACTGGGGACATTGGGGACATGAGGGGACATTGGGGACACCGACATTGGGGCATAGGGGACATTGGGGACAAGGGGACATGAGGGGACACCAGGGATACTGGGGACACTGGGGGACATTGGGGGCACAGGGACACTGGGGACATTGGGGACAGGGGGAGACCAGGGACATTGGGGACACTGGGACATGAGGAGGCATCGAGGACACCGTGGGACATGAGGGGACACCATGGGACATGGCGACACGCAGGGGACACCGTGGACACGCCCAGCAGGACACACAGGGGACACAGTGGGACGTGTGGGACACTGGGGGACATTGGGGACACGCCCAGCAGGACACGCCCATGTAGGAAGGCTCCACCCCCAAGGGCAATGGAGGGGGTGGGGTCACATCAAACCACGCCCCAACATGCAGGGGACACGCCCACAGGGACACACCCACAGGGACACGCCCATGGGACACACCCACAGGGACACGCCCATGGGACACACCCACCGGGACACGCCCATGGGCAGGGGGGGCTCAGGGATGGAATGGGGGGTCAGGGGGGGTTCAGGGGGCTCAGGGACAGTCCCACCCCCCAGTTTTGGGGTCCCCCCCTGAGCATACCCCCGGTTTGAAGGAGGGCAGCCCCAGCCCCACGCCGATGGTGGCCTTGTTGGGGTTCACCACGGAGTTGTAGTGGATGTTGCGGTGGTAGCTGACCCGGATGGGCTCGTCCTCGTTGTGCTGGATCCCGTGGAACGTGTTGATGGGCTCTGGCACCCCAAAACACGCATGTGGCACCCCAAACACGCATGTGGCACCCCAAAACACACACAGCACCCCAAACACGCATGTGGCACCCCAAAACACACACATTGCACCCCAAAACACGCATGTGGCACCCCAAAACACATATGGCACCCCAAACACGCATGTGGCACCCCAAACACGCATGTGGCACCCCAAAACACGCATGGGGTAATCACAAAAACAGCTGGGACCCCAAAACCCTGATGGGACCCCAAAAACCCACGTGGGACCTCAAAATATACATGGGAACGTCACAAAAACAGCTGGGACCCCAAAATACAGATAGGACCCCAAAACACACAGGGCACCCCAATATACAGATAGGATCTTCACAAAAACAGCTGGGATACAAAACCCAAATGGGACCCCAAAACACACCTGGGACCACCACAAAAACAACTGGGACCCCAAAACCCAAATGAGACCCCAAAATCCACATGTGGCACCCCAAAACCCACGTGGAATCCTCATAAAAAACAGCTGCGATACAAAACCCAGACGGGACCCTAAAACCCACGTGGGATCTCAAAATACAGATAGAATCCCTGAAAAAACAGGTGGGACCCCCACAAAAACAAATGGGATCCCCAAAAATCCAGATGGGATTTAAAAAAAAATAAAAAAAAAAAGAGGTGGAATCCCCAAAAAATCTAGCTGGGATCCCCAAAAAACCAGACGGAATCCCAAAATACAGACGGGATCCTCAAAAATCAGATGGGATCCTCAAAAAAACAGATGGGACCCCCAAAAATCCAGTTGGGACCCCCAAAACGGTACCTGGGACCCTTTCCCACTGTCCCCAGTGCCCGTGGGACCCCTCCCCATTAACCCCAGTGCCCGTGGGACCCCTCCCCACTGATCCCAGTACTCAGAGGTTCCTCAGGAGACCCCTCCCCACTGTCCCCAGTTCCTCAGGGACCCCTCCCCATTGATCCCAGTGCCCAAGTGACCCTTGTCACCTATCAGGGACCCCTCCCCATTAACCCCAGTGCCCGTGGGACCCCTCCCCATTAACCCCAGTGCCCATGGGACCCCTCTCCAGCGCTCCCAGTGCCCGTGGGACAATTCATATTTATTGTAAGTAAGAGTATAAAAATTTGGACATGCATAACGATGTGGGTACAAAGAGCTTTTAAAGGTGAGATCTTTCATTTCAATGTTCTGTGTAATACACCTGAAATATTATGACATGTTTAATAACATGCACAAGAAAACAGAACCATTCTCTTAGTGTTAATGACCCTTTTTACATAAAATAGAAAGTGTCTTAAAAAAACAGAACTATAAAAAGACATTAATATTTTCTAATGTTCTTGAATAACAATCTAATAAAATTAATATAACTTTCTATTAGTGGGGCCATTTTCATTCTCAGGCTAAAAAGCAATGAGCCATGTAGGATCTGCAGTGTATGGAACACGGATATACCTTGAACAAAGAGGCTAAATTATTTAAAATATTATAGGGGTTGAAATGTGTATTCCTACTAATTTCAAATCTACTCTCACTCATGGTGAAGTTTTCTGAGCATCTCAATTCCTGTTCCGTCACTGTTGAACCAGCAGTGCTATAAAGAATGAAAAAAGGGACCCCTAAAAAAACAGATGGGATTAAAAAAAAAAAAAAAAAAAAAAAAGAGGTGGAATCCCCCAAAAATCTAGCTGGGATCCCCAAAAATCCAGATGGAATCCCAAAATACAGACGGGATCCTCAAAAATCAGATGGGATCCTGAAAAAAAGATGGGACCCCCAAAAATCCAGTTGGGACCCCCAAAACGGTACCTGGGACCCTTTCCTACTGTCCCCAGTGCCCGTGGGACCCCTCCCCATTAACCCCAGTGCCCGTGGGACCCCTCCCCACTGATCCCAGTACTCAGAGGTTCCTCAGGAGACCCCTCCCCACTGTCCCCAGTTCCTCAGGGACCCCTCCCCATTGATCCCAGTGCCCAAGTGACCCCTGTCACCTATCAGGGACCCCTCCCCATTAACCCCAGTGCTCCCAGTGCTCCCAGTGTCACACACCAGTGCCGTACTGGTAGGCCCCTCTGGGCTGGCTGTGCACCGTGGGACCCCTCCCCATTAACCCCAGCACTCCCAGCACTCCCAGTATCACGCACCAGTGCCGTACTGGTAGACCTCGACGGGCCGGTTGTACATCTCGGCCATGGCCTGCATCTCGATGTGGTTCCCGTGGCAGGTGCTCTTGCGCTTGCGGTTGATGTAGGTGGTGAAATCCTCCGTGACGTAGTTGGAGAAATAATCGGCGTTCTTCATCTGGGGACAGAGGGACAGTGGGGACAGCTGGGGACAGCTGGGGACACACTGGGGACAGCTGGGGACAGCTGGGGACAGGCTGGGGACAGCTGGGGACAGGCTGGGGACACACGGGACAGGCACAGCACCACTGGGACACGGGGGACAGGAATGGGAGAGCCCTGGGGACTCTGGGGTAGAGGGGAGGGAACAGCAGCCTGGTGCCCCCAGCGTTCTGAGCACCCTCCCAGTCGCCTCCCAGTCCATCCCAGTGCCCACCAGTGCATTCCCAGCCTCTCTCAGTCCCTCCCAATCTTCTCCCAGTCCCTCCCAGTCCCCCCAGTCCATACCAGCCCTCCCCAGCTCATCCCAGTCCCTCCCAGTCCCCCCAGTCCATACCAGCCCTCCCCAGCTCATCCCAGTCCCTCCTAGTCCGCCCCATAATCCTCTCCCAGTCCCCCCTAGTCCCCTCCCAGTTCCATCCCAATCCACGGGACAGGCACAGCACCACTGGGACACAGGGAAAACCTTGGGGACACACTGGGAAAACCTTGGGGGGACACACTGGGGAGCCCTGGGGACGCCGAGCTGGAGAAATAATCAGCGTTCTTCATCTGGGGACACAGGGGACAGGCTGGGGACAGGCTGGGGACAGGCTGGGGACGCAGCAGGGACAGACACAGCACCACTGAGACACGGGGGACAGGAATGGGAGAGCCCTGGGGACTCTGGGGTAGAGGGGAGGGAACAGCAGCCTGGTGCCCCCAGCGTTCTGAGCACCCTCCCAGTCCCTCCCAATCCATCCCAGTCCCTCTCAGTGCCCCCCAGTGCATTCCCAGTCCCTCCCAATCCTCTCCCAGTTCCCCCCAATCCCCCCCAGTCCATCCCAATCCACTCCCAAT